TGCCTCGGCCTCCCAAAGTACTGGGATTACAGGCATAAGCCACCATGCCTGGACTTTTTCAGTTTCTTGATAATGTAATTTGTGTCACAAATGTTTTCTAGTTTTGATGAAGTTGAATGTATCTATTTTTTCTTTTGTCATTTGTGCTTTTAGGTATCTATGGGACCATTGCTTAACCCAAGGTGATAAAGATTCACTCCTGTGATTTTTTTTCTAAGAGTTTTTATAGTTTTAGCTTTTACACTTATGGCTATGATCCATTGTGTTAGTCCATTTTCATGCTGCTGATAAAGACATACCTGAAACTGGGCAATTTCCTAAAGAAAGAAGTTTAATGGTTTCACATGGCTGGGGAGGCCGCACAATCATGGTAGAAGGCAAGGAGAAGCAAGTGACATCTTACATGGATGGCAGCAGGCAAAGAGAGAGAACTTATGCAGTGGAACTCCTCTTTATAAAACCATCAGATCTCATGAGAGTTATTCACTATCACGAGAACAGCACGGGAAAGACTTGCCCCATGATTCAATTATCTCCTATCAGGTCACTCCCACAACACGTGGGAATTCAAGATGAGATTTGGGTGGGGACACAGCCGAAACATATGGTTCATTTTGAGTTAATTTTGCATACGGTATGAGTTAGGGGTCCAATTTCATTCTTTGGATGTGTATATCCAGTTGTTCCAGCACCCTTTGTGAAAAAGGTGATTATTTCTTCACTGGCACTTTTGTTGAAAATCAATTGATCATAAAAGTAAGAGTTTATTTTTGGACTATTGATTCTGTTCTGTTGATCTTTTTTTTTTTTTTTTTTTTTTTTTAAATCAGAAGGTGTGACTTCTCCAATTTTGTTCTTCTTTTTCAAAATTCTTTTGGTGATTTGGGACAATTTGCAATTCCATATGAATTTTAGGATCAGCTTGTCATTTTCTGGAAAAAAAATCCAGCTGGAATTTTGATAGAAATTTTATTGAATCTGTAGATTCATTTAGAGAATATTACCATCTTAACAATATTAAGTCTTTTGATCCATGAACATGGGATGTTTCCATTTATACAGGTCTTATTTAATTTTTTTCAACAATATTTTATATTGCTGGAATGTAAGTTTTGTAGTTCTACAAGTTTTGTAGTTCTTTCGTTAAAGTTATTCCTAAGAATTTTATTCTTTCTGATGCTATCATAAATGGATTTTTTAAAAGTTTTGTTGTTCTTTTTGTTAAGCAAGACTACAAGTTTTGTAGTTCTTTTGTTAAAGTTATTCCTAAGGATTTTATTCTTTCTGATGCTATCATAAATGGATTTTTTAAAAATTTCATTTTGTACTGTTCATTGCTAGGGTACAGAAATACAATTGATTTTTTATATTGATTTTGTATCCTGCAACCTTGCTGAATTTATTTATTAGTTCTATTTTCTATTTTTTGTAGGGATGAGGTCTTGCTATGATGCTGATCTCAAACTCCTGGCTTCGAGTGATCCTCCTGCCTTGGCCTCCCAAAGTGCTGGGATTACAGGTGTGAGCCACCATCCCTTGGTCCACGTATTAGTTCTAATAGGCTTTTGTTTTTAGATTTCTTAGGATTTTCTATATACAAGATCATGTCATCTGCAAATAGAGAGAGTTTTACTTCTTCCTTTCCAGTCTAGATGCCTTTTATTTCTTTTTCTTGATTGCTATGGCTAGGACCTCCCATACAGTCTTAAATAGAAGTGATGAGAGAAACATACTTGTCTTGTTCCTGATCTTAGGAGAAAAATGCCTTTAGTCACATTAGATATGTCAGGAGTGGGTTGTTTTTTTTTGAGATAGCCTTTATCAGATCGAGTAAGTGCCCTTCTTTTTTAAATTTGAGACAGAGTCTGGCTCTGTCACCCAGGTTGGAGTGCAGTGACATGATCTCGTCTCACTGCACCTCTGCCCAATGGATTCAAATGGTTTTCCTGCCTCAGCCTCCTGAATAGCTGGGATTACAGGTGTGCACCACCACACCTGGCTGATTTTTTTTTTTATTTTTAGTAGAGAAAGTATTTCACCATGTTGGCCAGGCTGTTCTTAAACTCCAGACCTCAAGTGAAATGCCCACCTTGGCCTCCCAAAGTGCTGGGATAACAGGCATGAGCCACTGCACTCGGCCTGAAGTTCCCTTCTGTTCCTAGTTTATTGAATTTTTTTTTATCATGAAAGGTATTAAATTTTGTCAAGTGCTTTTCCTGGATTTATTGGGATGATCATGGTTTTTCATCCTTTATCCTATTGATATGATGTATTACATTAATTGATTTTCATACCTTAAGCCAACTTTGCATTCCTGGAATAAATCCCACTTTGTTATAGTGTCTTATCCTTTTTGTATGTTGCTTGATTTGTGTTTCTAGTACTTTGTTGAGGAGTTTTCCATATATATTCTATCTTTATTTCAATAAAGAAATTAGTCTGTAGTTTTCTTTCCTTGCAATGTCTTTAATCATCATTTTTATAAAGCTACATCATACTATCTCTTTTTTTTTACAATTAATTTTCTTTATTTTTGGAAATTTTATTTCATTTCATTTCTTTGGCTGTGAACACATCATGCTGTTGATGGCAATTTTGTTTGTTATCTGCAGTTCCCTCCTGCACTGGCCGATATGTTAGAAGACCTGGAGTGAACCTGAACCCGTAACACAATCGCATGGTGCAGTTTTGAATTTGTATTCTCTGGACTTCAGTCTCCTCTTCTGTAATTATGAGATTGTAAGCTCTTCAAAATTACAGTCTTTTTTTTCTTTCTGTTCTCACAAGCTGTTCTCAATTTATAGAGTTTTATAGCTAGCATGTATTCCCAGTCCAGGGCTCTTTCCCTGGGATCAAGTCTGAAAGGGTCTTCAATGTCCTGCTGATAAATAAGAAAGATCAGTGCTTTTAAAACAATGCACATATGAACATGTGTATGAATCACCAGGGACTCTTACATGCAGATGCTCATTCCATAGATCTAGACTCTGCATCTCTCACAAGCTCTTGGGTAATGTTAATGCTGCTCGTCTATGGACCCCACTTTGAGTAACAAGGAACCAGAATATAGTTTCCTAAGCTTCAGTCACATAAGAGCCAATTTCATATTTTTTTGCCATATTCTTCTTTCATCTATACAATTAAAAATATATTTTTCTTTTAATTAACTAGCAACTAAATCCCATCTTTGGGTAAAATTTAGACTAATTCTAGGCAATAATATACATCAAACCATACGTGTTAGATTCTCTCTCTCTCTCTCTCTCTACCTATATATATATATATATTTTTTTTTTTTTTACGCGGAGTCTCGCTCTGTCACCCAGGCTGAAGTGCAGTGGTGTGATCTCAGCTTACTGCAACCTCTGCCTCCTGGGTTCAAGCAATTATCCTGCCCTAGCCTCTCAAGTAGGTGGGATTACAGGCATGCACCGTCTTTAAACACCACCACACTTTAATTGGACACTTTTGACTTGCATCTCATAATTTTGTCCCCCAACCTTTTTTTTTTTTTTTTTTTTTTGAGACAGAGTCTCACTGTGTCACCAGGCTGGAGTGCAGTGGCATGATCTCGGCTCACTGCAACCTCTGCCTCCCGGGTTCAAGCGATTCTCTTGCCTCAGCCTCTGGAGTAGCTGGGACTACAGGCGCCTGCCACCACACCCAGTTAATTTTTGTATTTTTAGTAGAGATGGGGTTTCACTATGTTGGCCAGGCTGGTCTTGATCTCTTGACCTCATGATCCACCTACCTCGGCCTCCCAAAGTGCTGGGATTACAGGTGTAAGCCACTGCACCCGGCCTATTTTGCCCCCATTTTTCTCTGCTGCAATTTGGCCAGTGATTCCTGTCTTTCCCTCTATTATCCACCCTGATTAACTCAGCTGCACCTGTCAGCCTTTATTCCTGCGAGCTAGAGCGGGTGGAGCGAGGCGTGCTGAAGAAGTCATTAAAATGCATGAATTTGATCATATTCACTCTTTCCTTTCCAGAGCATAGGGGCCTAAGTCCCTGGGTCCCATATCTTCATTTGGCTTCATTTGGCAGGTCTGGGGCTCATGGCCTGGGGCGAGAAGGCCTATGGGAACCAGCAGCAGCAACCTGCAGACTTCATCTGGTGGACACTACTCGGGGCTGGGTCTCCGAGATCCTGTAAGTTTCTCTTGGGCTGTCTGACACCATCCACTGCAGGAAGCAGGAATGAGGTTGTTCAGTGAATTTTCCCTGTATTCTCTGGAAGAGGTGCTTATAAAGATGGAATAAGGCTGGTTTAGAGAATTTTGATTCCTCTTGCTTCTGCTTGTTTATTTCTTCCAGCCTCTTTGTCTTCATCTGTAAAATAGGGATAATAATAACTGCCCATATGAGGTGGGAGGTGCAGTAGTGAATAATTCAGGTTTTGGGCCCAGAGCAGCGGCTTACGTCTGTAGTCCCAGCACTTTGGGAGGCCGAGGCAGGCAGATCACCTGAGGTCGGAAGTTTGAGGCCAACCTGGCCAACATGGTGAAACCCCGTCTCTACTAAAAATACAAAAATTAGCTGGGCATGGTGGCTCACACCTGTAGACCCATCTACTCGGGAGGCTGAGGCAGGAGAATCGCTTGAATCTGGGAGGCAGAGTTTGCAGTGAGCTGACATTGACACTGCACTCCAGCCTGGGTGACAGAGCAAGACTCCATCTCAAAAAAACAAAAACAAAAACAAAAACAAAAACAAAAAAACAGGTTTTGATGTCCAACGGGCTGGTTCTGTCATTTAGAACGTGTAGGACCTGGAGCAAATCATTTTACTCCCTGTAAAGTGGAGATAACACCTGCTTCCTAGGGACAGTGCAGGAGGATGAAGGAGCGCTGAGCCAGTGACTAACACAGGCTGAGCACTCACTGGATGGCAGCAATTGTCATTATCATCATTATCACATCACCATCATCATTACGCTATAAAAGACTGGCAAGTCTGGCATATTTTGGTACTTAACATTTGTTTCCTCTTCCTTTCTCCCTACCTTTCTCCCTCCTTTTCTTCCTTCCTCCTTTTTCCCTGTCTTCTCACCTTCTTTTATTCCTCTTGTTCTCACTTTCTTCTCGTCCTTCTTTGGTACATCTGGTTGCAGCTGCAAGGAACAGCAGGAGCTTACACAGGGAAAGGAGATGTGGTCAGATCCTGGGGGGACTCGAATGTCAGAGGGAGTCTGATCTTTAGCCTAGGGGCAATAGTGAGTCACTCAAGCCTGCGGTGGAGCAGAAACAAGGTGTAGTGAAAGTGGGGAAGTGAACCTGGCAGCAGAGATTAGGAAGCAGCTGTGAGGGCAGAAGCTGGAGCAAGAGAGGTGAGCTATCCAGGGAGCCTAAAGGTCAAGTGAGAGACATGGGGAAGCAGAGGCTGCATCTCTGCCTAGAGCTCGCCTGGGAGAAGCAGCCTCATTCTCAAAGTTCACCTTGCCCACAAAACCCAGCCGGAGCACCCACCTCTGTGTGACCTCAGACAAGTGCTTAGCCTCTCTGAGCAGCAGTAAGGCCATCCTAGGTCTTGGTGACACCCCCTGGCTTCCCAGCAAAGACGCTTCTGGATCCTACAGGCTTCCATCATCTTCCAGGCTGCTCCCTGCTCAGAGATTAATTTGTTTACTCCCTTGCCTGGAGATGAACCGAGGGAACTCGTCCATCAGCCCAGGCTCCCCCAACCTCGCACCGCCCCGCCCCAAATGTCCATTTTCTTGCAAAATATGTCCTTGCCGCCGACAAGGCTGCCTGGAAAATGCTAATTTTTTCCTCGAATTAAAATTTGTTCCCTTACCCTCGTTTTAATAGAAATGAAGCATCCGGAAACATTGCCACGGTGCAGAAGAGAAAGATCTGACATAATTTTTAAAATGCCTTCAATCACGCTGCCTTCTGAACGGTCTTCTGAACGGTCTGTCCTCTAACCCTGACCCCCTCCCCATCTCCCAACCCCCTGAGGCAGCATTTACATTTCTTAATAACCCCTCATTAATATTCATGAGAAGGGGCGGGTAATAATGGCTGAGCACACCGCACTAATTCAATTTCCACCCGCCTCAGCGTGTTTACTTAATCACCAAGGGACCCGGGTTACTCAGTACAATTATTTATTCGGAATTAGATCTGGAGGCATCTGGACTGGAAACAGGGAACCAAGAGCAAAATGAAAATCGAATTCTCTTCGTCCTCCCCTCCCAGCCGCCTCTTCCTGACCGTTTGCCAACGCTCCAGGCAGCCAGCAGGGCTTGGAGGACAAGGCTCCGTGCCCGCCGGGCAGCTCCTGAAGGAACTGGCTCATGAGGGGCTGAATGTGTTCCAGATGCTCTGGCCCTGGCAGGAATCTCTCATCAACAGTAGCCTAGGAGTTATCGCAAGGCCCAGCAGTGGGCCAGCTGCACCGTCCCAGCCAAGAGCACAGCCAGCCAGAGTTAGTGTGTTCAGGAGATGCTGGGGTATTGGCCCAATCTGGACATGCAGTGTGGACAGACCCTTGATCACAGGCCCCCATGGAGGCGAGAGTTTGTAACATGGGGTCTAAATAACACCTGCTCATCCTCGAACCCCCGCTTAACTGTCATCTCCTCCAAGAAGCCTTTCCTGGTCCCCAGACAAGGTTAGCTTCTCTTATTACACACACCTTCTATTACAACCAGGATGGACTTGGTCATAGCACCTTGCCCACTGTGGGTGTTCACACAATGGTTTCTAATTAGTTGTTCAGGGTCTGTTTCTCTCAATAGTCAGTTCCGTGGGAGTAGGTCCCATGGCTGTCCTGGTCACGTGTCCCCAGCATCTAGCAATGCCCAGCACAGAGATGCTCAACAATATTTGTTGACTTCTTGACTGATTCTACTATTGACTCCTGATTCTCAAGCCTCTGTTTCCTTACCTATAAAATGAAGCTAAGAACATTCATCTTGTAGGATTGCTGTGGAGACTCAGTGTTTTCTGTGTGAAGAGGATGCAGAGGATGTCAGTGTAAGGTGTTGAGCTTAGTCCCTGACACATGATAAACTCCCAGTTCACATAAGATGCTATTATTATTACTGTTATTTCTGATGGTGGCGGAGCGCAGACAAGTTAACTGTGCGGGCCTGGTAGACCCAGAGGAGGCTGGGCTTGGAGGGAGCTCTTCTCAGTCTTGAGACTCTGAGATTCAGAGTCTTGAAATGCCTTTCCCAAGTTCACACAACTAGTAAGGTCAAGCCTCTATCCTGCTTATCCTTTTAAGCATTGGATGACCTTAGCAAGTTGCTTAACTTTTCTGAGCCTCAGTTTCCTCCACTGTAAAATGAAAATAATATTGGCAGCCGCCTACTGGATTGCTAGGGAAGATTCAACAAGGTCCCTCGTGCAATTTAGCATGGAAGTTGATACATGAACTTAATGAAAAGGGCTACTGTTACGGCAGATGTGGTGAGTCCAGGCAGAGGGAATAGCATGAATGTATTTATCTATTGATTCACTTGCTAATGTATTTAGTTATGCATTCAGCATGCATTCATTAGCCCCTACCAGGTGCCTGCCCCAGTGCTAGGCTCTGACAGGGAGCAGAGAGGTACAGAAAGCACAGCTCCCTCGGACGAGGAGCTCCCAGCTGATAGAAAAAGTGAGTCAGGAAGGCCCTCACTGGCACATCGGCAAATGCCACAGCTGTGAAGGGACGTTGGAACTGTGGCTTCCAGTTCTGAGGTTTAGGAACAGGTGACTGAAGGGGTGGCATTTGGGGCAAGAAGAATAATTTGGGCCAGAGTGAGGGGGTGGAGCATCCTACGAAGAGGAACCAGCAAAGGTATAGGCCTGGCAGTGGGGATTTTCTGTTACAGCCAAAACGTCCTCCATGGATACACCTTTGTGTATGTTATCTCTACTACTTGGACTACACCCTTCTACCTTGATGCTCAGCAAACTCCTACTTATCCTTCAAAGCCCAGCTCCAAATGACCCGATTGTCCAATATTCTGACATCTCTTGGCAAAGTCACAATTCTTTCCTTATGCTCTCCAGCACTGTGCTCCTACCCAGTCCTCAGACTTCTCGTGTAGTATCATCTGCTTACCCATTTATCTCTGGTTCTCACCCTTCTGCCCCTCTGCTCTGTATTTCAGGGGGCTGGGTTTGGCCAATGGGAGGCGCTGGTTGGGGGCTACAGGGCAGAAGGAAGGGAGAAGTCCAGGTATTTCTCCTCTCCATCTTGGGCAGCATCTCCAGCAGTGGCTGTGTCTCCTCCATGTCTCTAGCTCTCCTGGAGCCCCACCATGGTCCCATATTCCACCAAGTGACCGTCCTCCTGGGCTGGGGTGGTGGCAGCCTCTTGCTATTACTCGTCTTTAGGCTGCTTTGCCATGTCCAGTTGTCTTCTCAGACCTTCTGCCACCTTCCATGCCCTGGATTAAAGTTTCTCTTTTGTAAATACTCAAGTGTTTCCTGGTTAGACACTGACCCATACACTTCCCTACCAGGAGACAAGCTTCCTGATGGGAAGGGCCCTGCCTTGTATCCCCAGGGTTTAGACACAGAGAAGCTACCCAAAGGTAAATGAATGAATGAATGAATAAATGTGTTTTGATTACATGGCTTGTCTAACCAGATTCTACCCTTGTTTAGCAAAAGAGACATAAGGGAATGAATTGCTCCCTGGGGTTAACAAATGTTGGTATGAAAACAACATCAGGCCAGGCGTGGTGGCTCACGCCTGTAACGCCAGCCCTTTGGGAGGCTGAGGCGGGCAGATCACGAGGTCAGGAGTTCGAGACCAGCCTGACCAATATGGTGACACCCCCATCTCTACTAAAAATACAAAAATTAGCCAGGTGTGATGGCATGCACCTGTAGTCCCAGGGAGGCTGAGGTGGAAGAATCGCTTGAACCTGCGAGGCGGAGGTTGCAGTGAGCCAAGATCGCGCCATTGCACTCTAGCCTGGGTGACACAGCAAGACTCCCCCTCAAAAAAAAAAAAAAAAAGAAAGAAAGAAAAGAAACAATATCAATAATAATAATACTAAAGAAATGATTTGTAAATAAGAAAATGCTTTCTAAATAATGCTAAGCCTGTAAGCTTCTTTGTAGACTGTAAAATTCAGTATCCACTTTGGATTTTTCTGTTTCAGCCCGTATCAGTGTTTCTGCTGAGGTGGCTGCAGAGTGGGAGGCCAAGAGATAAAAGAGAAGAGAATGGATTGGGGGCCATGTTTCAGTCCAAGAACAAAAGGCAGAGAGGAGCGCATGGGACAGCAGATGATTTCGTCATTACAGACTCATTTAGAGAGGCCCCTTCCCTCCCTTCCTGCCTCCAAAGCACCTGGACCCTCAAGTGCCCAGCCAAGTCCCTTCATTAAAATTTCCCAGAACTGGGGCTGGGTTGGAAGACAGTGAAGGCCTGCCAGCCTGTCTGCCAGAGAAGTTCAGAGGGCTGTAGGAGGGGCACTTCTCTAGAAGTCAAATGGGAACAGCAGGGTGGGTGGATTGTGGTACTCAGAGAGGAGAATGAGTGAAAGGGAATTTTAGAGATGCAAGAAACTGGCGCAGCCTGTCTTAGGTTGGGTTCCCTGAAAGGCAGAGACTAAAACAAAGACTTGAGTACATGCTTGGGTACATATTTTATTTGGGAGATGCTCATAGGAAGTAGAAGCGAGGGAACCAAGAGAGCAAGACAGGGAAGGAGCTGGTTGCCGCAGTGGATAATTGGGATTCGATTCTGCGAATAGCCTCTGAGTATTATGCAGAAGCCATCTCAGAATTGTTCACCCAGAGGATAGAAAGCTGGGGCATTTATCCTCTAACTCCTATTCCCCCAAGGGATAAGCATTACCCCAGGTAGGTCATTAACTTTCCACACCTCTGGGCTGTGCCTTTGGGTCACAGAACAAGGGACCAGGACTTCCAAGACAGCCTTGAAGCTGCAAAGCTTAGAGACTAGGCAGGCACTTGAGGTCAGAATCTGCCAGCGTGCATGGCAGCTGTGCAGCCCAGCTGCAGCTGGGGCCAGAGGAGGGGCACAAGCCTGCAGCATAGTGGCACTCGCAGCATCTACCACACTCTACTATCCCTGTCGCACACAGCCTGAGTCCTCAAGTTCCATGGCCATTCCTTCCTTCCTTCATTCACTCAACAAACACTTCCCGAGCACCCACTCTGTGCCAAGAACTGTGCTAGGTGCTGGGAAGAGTGTGTGAGCAAGACAAACATGGCCCCTGACCATACGCTGCTTATATTCAAATTTAGAAGGCAGAAATAAATAAGTGTACGTGCAAATTAGTAAGATGCCTTCCGAGAGTGATAAGTGTTCTAAAAGGAAGAAACAGGGGTGATATGGTTTGGTTCTGTGTCCCCACCCAAATCTCACCTTGAATTGTAATAATCCCCACTTGTCAAGGATGGGACCAGGTGGAGGTAACTGAATCATGGGGGTGGTTTCCCCCATGCCCTTCTCATAATGAGTGAATCTCGTGAGATCTGATGGTTTTATAAATGTCTGGCATTCTCCCTGCTTGCTCTCATTTTCTCCTTCCTGCCACCATGTGAAGAAGGACATATTTGCTTCCCCTTCTGCCATGATTGTAAGTTTCCTGAGACCTCTCCAGCCATGCCACACTGTGAGTGAAACATCTTTCTTTTATAAATTAACTCAGTCTAGAATACGTCTTTTGCTTTTATTTTTGTTTGAGACCGAGTTTCGCTCTGTCGCCCAGGCTGGAGTGCAATGGTGCTATCTCGGCTCACTGCAACCTCCGCCTCCCGGGTTCTAGCGATTCTCCTGCCTCAGCCTCTTGAGTAGCTGGCATTACAGGCACGTGCCACCATGCCCAGCTAATTTTTGTATTTTTAGTAGAGACAGAGTTTCACCATGTTGGTCAGGCTGGTCTCGAACTCCTGACCTTGTGATCCTCCCACCTCAGCCTCCCAAAGTGCTGGGAATACAGGCGTGAGCCACCGCAACCAGCCTCGAATATATCTTTATTAGCAGCATGACAGTGGACTAATACAAGGGAGATGGAATAGAAAGAAAATATAGGGAAAAGGAGGGGACTTGCTTTAGGCAGGGCCATCAGGGAGGGTCACTGGCTAGGTGACCCCTGAGCACAGCCCAAATGTTGAGAAAGAATATACACTTCTTCTGCCACCAATGGCTTCTGACTCCATGGTTCTGAAAATGTGAGGTTTCAGGGACTGTACAATATAAAAATTTTTCTTTGAGAACTAATATAGGGTTACTAACTATTTTGCCAAATAAAAACAAAAAACAATTCAACTACGAATGGCCATTTACTATCTCCATGATTTCATAAATGAAAAGACGTTGAAAACACTCCCAAAGTAGGAAGAACATAACCTCAGAATAAAGACAGTCTTTTAAGTGAAATAAATTTAGCTTTATTAAAAACCCTCTTCTTTTCTTCATTTTGTACCCAAACTCTTGGAAACTTCTCTCCATCTCAGGGTCTACCTTGAGGGCTCAGGACACACTGTTATTCCCTTTGTTTTCTTGGCTTGGGGATTTTGGTAATGAGAGATAAAGTGTGAAATTGCATGTATATGCCCATGTCCATCAGTTTTTCCATTTGCAAAGTTGGGTAGTTGCCTGAATTATTTATAAAGTATAAACTAGAAATCCGGAGATCTTAGCAATTCATTCATTTAACAGTACCAGAAAGTGCATAGAATTCCTTTATTCTCAACACCACCTTCTCTGCTAGGGAAACTCCTCTTCTACTCTCAAAACCCAGTTCAAATATCCCATTCCTGGGCTTCTCTCAGCAATCAGTCAGCCATCCTCCCTGCAGAGAGTCTTGGCCTATATTGAGGACACAGCCCCTACCCATTGTGATAGGTGATTGTTTCTGGGTGGGGGAAATTGGTCCTGTGTCTCTCTTCCAGAAGATCTTTTCATTTCTCAGAACTCCTCAGTATAAATGTGGATAATGCAGAAAAACAGGAAATAGAGATTTGTGAGCAGAAGAGAAGGGGAAGGGAAGTAGCATTTATTGAGTATCTGCAATGCACCTGTCAGGTGCTTCACGTGTGTATGATTTCATTTGAAGCCCTTACTTACTTTAATACAGTTCCTCCCACCATAACTACTGCTCCTTATCCCATTCCTACACACACACTGCTCTTTCCATCTGTGACACCTGTGCTCCTGCCATTTCTCCTGCCCAGGAAACCTCGCCTCCTAAGTCCTCTTGGATTCTTCCTGTGTGCTGGTGACTCCACGCCTGGGACCTGGCAGCCAGGGGTTTGTCTGCCCTGTCTAGAGGAAAATGATCATTGCATCCAGGCCACATAGTTCAGGTCAGAGTTCAGGGAGACAGAAGCTCACATGAAGAGACTGCCTGGCCCTTTCTAGCCTGAAAACACTGAGATCCTTTAAACCAGAGACTCCCTTGTTCCAAGACTCTTGAGTTGTTCGCAGTTTTGTGTTCATGGCTGGTCCTGGAATGCTGATTCTCACTTCCAAGATTCTAGAACTCTGAGATTCTACAAACAGGGGAGAGAGCCTCTGCTTCAGGACTTGAGCTGTTTCTGCCGCCTCTCCAGGGGCCACCTGGCCTCAGGACCCCAGACAGACACCGTGGGTTGGGAACCAACCTGGAGGAAGACTAAAATCAGCCCCTGTCTTCAGGTCTACTGCGGTGGATGAAGCCTCACGCAGAACAGATACAGTTGCTTGGGAAGCAGGGGGCTGCAGGTGTGTGGAGGTGGAGAGATGCCCCCAGAGAGACCATCCTCTCCCCTCCGAGAAAGGAGCTGCTGTGCCAGCCTGCAGGTCCTTTCCATGACAACAGTTGCTTAGCGCCTGCCATCCTCACACCAACTTCCCTCATCTGCCCTTCTTTTCTTTTTTCCTTTCCTCACTCAAGGAGCTAATTTTCACTTAGTAAACTTTCACCACTTCATCCTGCGTGCCAAGTGCTGGGTTAAGCATTTGGCATCTATCACAGATTGGGATCTCATAAGCAGAGTTTGGGGTGTAAGATATTTATTAGGGATCAATGCCAGTGATAGGAAGGGGAGAAGCAGGATTGGATACAGGGAGAAGACAATGGTGATGCAGGCTCTACAAAGTCTCTGCCAACTGGGCAGGGAGCCCGGGAATGGGCATTGCTTGGAGGAGTTGTTCTGCATCAGGCTGAAACGGCCAAACCTTTACATCCTTATTTGCTTGGTCACTGGGTGCAGGCTGCCCTGGGAAGGGTGTGACCTCTGGCCAGGTGGCTTTCTGTAGCTGAGGTTGACTGCCCTCCTCACATCAGACAGCAAGCCCTTCCTTAAAGGAGTGTCTGGGCAGCCTCTATTTTTGTTTTCTATAACAACCATAATCTGATTTAACTCCCACCACAACCCATCCGCATAGGAATTAACAAACCCATTTTATAGATGAGTACACAGAGGTTAGATAGTTTGTCCAAAGCAGCTTCCAAAAAGGAAGTTAGAGTTGGATCCACAACTTGAGCCCAGGACAAAGTATAATGGTCTCTTTCCTTTCCTTACCACAGGGTTCCTTAGAATTGGGATCCATTTTTGTCCCTTTCTTTTAGGTGTAAGTTGTCACTGGATGGAGAACATCAAGGATAATTTTCCCTGAGCTTCACCCCCACAAAATGTCTTTTGCATCTCTCCCCTTTTGCCCCGCTTTCCTTTAGACACATATCCCTCCTGTACCCTCAGTCCATGTGGTCCCAGAGAGACTCCACTTCCTGCTTCAGGGTAAAGCATGTGACCCAAGCTAAGCCAATCAGTGTATCACGCTCCCCTGACCCTGCAATTGGCTCTTAGGTGGCACATGACCCTAGAGGAGCAAATTAGAATGAATTCCAGGACGTTTGCAGGAGCTGCCAGAAAAGTCTTGCTCTTTCTAGATATACTTGAACCATCAGCAATCAGAACTGGAGCTCCTCATATGTTTGAGCTATTGATTGTAGCATAACAAACCACTCCCAAAACATAGCGACTTAAAACAACAATAATTCATTATTTCTTATGATTCTGTGAGTTAACAGGGCAGGGCTTCTGCTCCATACGTTGTGGGCTGGGGTCATTCAGGTGGCTCCATTCAGCTGTGGCAGGACTGGAAGGGCCAGGAGTCAATACTGTCTGTGTATGCATGAGTGTGTGTGTTTGGCGGCAGGGGGCATATGGGGGGGCAGTGGGTGGAAAGCAGTGAGACTGGTCCACCCCAGGTGCAGGCAACAAGAGGTACATATTTTGCAGAGAGCTTAAAAATCATAACATTGACTAAAAATCAATCTGTTTTTTATCCTCACTGGGTGCTGGAAATTCTCAACCATGTTAGTGATAAAACACTCCAGTCCTCTTAGGGCAGACCACCACCCTCCTTTATTACAAAGGCCTCTCCCAAGGTCTAGACCCTTTGTGGTGACTGTCATCTGGGGTATCTTTGTTCTCCTCTGTGTAACCTTTTTCCCATGTGGCATCTCATCTTCTGGGCCCCTCCACACGATCTCTCTCTTCAGCAAGGTAGCATTTTGAGACAGTGTCTCAGTCTGTCGTTCAGGCTGATTATAGTGGCATGGTCATGGCTCACTGCAGCCTTGACATCCTGGGCTCAAACAATCCTCCCACCTCAGCCTCTGAAGTAGCCAGGACTATAGGCATGTGACACCACACCCTGCTAAGTTTTAAAAAATTTTTGTAGAGATGGGGGTCTCACTATGTTGCCCAGGGTAGTCTCAAACTCCAGGACTCAAGTGATCCTCCAGCCTTGGCCTCCTAAAGTGTTGGGATTACATGTGTGAGCCCCTGTCCCCAGCAGCCCAGAGTTCTTTACAGTATGGCAGCAGGGTTCTAAGAAGGAGCACTCCAAGACATCAAGCACAAATATACCAGTGCTTATGCAGTCTCTCCTGCCTCACACATGCTAATAACCTATTAACCAAAGCAAGTCACATGACTAAGCCCGGTATTCAGTGTAGAAGGGGTACTTCACATTGGCATACCTCAGAGATAGTGAGGGTTCAGTTCCAGACCACCACAATAGAGCAAATATAACAATAAAGCAAGTCACACAAACTTTATGGTTTCCCAGTGCCTATAAAAGTTCTGTTTGCACTATATTGTAGTCTATGAATTGTGCAATAGCATGTCTAAGACCATAGTGTGTATACCTTAATTTTAAAATACTTTATTGCTTAAACAAGCTAGCAATCATTTGAGCCTTCAGCAAGCTGCACTCTTTTTGCTGGTGGATGGAGGGTCTTGCCTCCATGTTGTTGGCTGCTGACTGATCAGGGTGGTAGTTGCTGAAGATTGGGGTGGCTGTGGCAATTTCTTTTCTTTTCTTTTTTTTTTTTTTTTTTTGAGACAGTCTTGCTTTGTTGCCCAGGCTGGAGTGCAATGGCACAATCTCGGCTCACTGCAACCTCTGCCTCCTGGGTTCAAGTGATTCTCGTGCCTCAGCCTCCCGAGTAGCTGGAATTACAGTCATGCATCACCACGCCTGGCTAATTTTTGTATTTTTCGTAGAGATGAGGTTTCATCATGTTGGTCAGGCTGGTCTTGAATTCCTGACTTCAGGTGATCTGCCTGCCTCGGCCTCCCAAAATGCTGGGATTATAGGCATAAACCACCACACCTGGCCCGCAATTTTCTTAAGACAACAATGACGTTTGCCCCATCCATTGATTCCTCCTTTCACCAAAGATTTCTCTGTAGCATGCGATGCCGTTTCACAGCATTTTACCCATAGTAGAACTTATTTCAGAATTGGAGTCAATTCTCTAAAACCCTGCTGCTCCTTTATAATCTAAGTTCATGTAATATTCTAACTCCTTTGTTGTCAGTTCACCCATGTCCGCAGCATCTTCAACAGAGTAGAGTCAGTCTCAAGAAACCACTTTCTTTGCTTCTCCGTAAGAAGTAATTCTTCATCTGTTCAAGTTTGATCATGAGATTGCAGCAATTCAGTCACATCTTCAGGTTCCACTTCTGATTCTAAGCTTCTTGTTAGTTCCACCACATCTGCTGTTACTTCCTCCACTGAAGGCTTGAATCCCTCAAAGTCATCTATGAGGATTGGAATCAACTTCTAAACTCCTGTTAATGTTATTTTGACCTCCACCCATGAAACATGAATGTTTTTAAAGACATCTAGAATAGTAAGTCCTTCCAGGAAGATTTTCAATTTACTTTGCCCAGATCCATAAGAGGAATCACTATCTGTGGTGGCTATAGCCTTATGAATGTGTCTTGAAAGCTGAAATTACTCCTTGATCCATGGGCTGCAGAATGGATGTTGTATTATCAGGCATGTAAACAGCTTTAATCTCTATCTCCTTGTACGTTGCCGTGAAAACTCTTGGGTGACCAAGTGCATTGTCAATGAGCAGTAATATTTTGAGAGGAATCTTTTTTTTTTTTTTTTTTTTTTCTGAGCAGTAGTTCTCAACAGTGGGCTTAAAATATTAAACAATGGTGAAAAAATAAGTGTTATCATCCTGGCTTTGTTATTCCATTTATAGAACACAGGCAGAGTAGATTCATCCTGTGCTAATCTTTTAGTTATTTATAAGAGCCTTTGGGTTTTCAAAATGGTAAATAAGCACTGGCTTCAACATAGTCACCAGCTGCAGTAGTCCCTAACAAAAGAATCAGCCTGATCTCTAAAGATCAGAAGCCAGACGTTGATTTCTCCTCTCTAGTTATGAAAGTCCCAGATGGCATCTTCTTCCAGAATAAGGAAAATCTGTTGTTTAGTGTACATCAAAACTCTGTTTTGTTTCATCTACACTGAAAATCTGTCATTTGGTGACGCCACCTTCATCAATGATCTTAGCTAGATCATCGGGATCACTTGCTGCAGCTTCTCCATCACACTCACTGCTTCAGCTTGTACTTTCACGTTATAGACATGGCTTCTTTCCTTAAATCTCAGGAACCAACCTCAGCCTGTTCCTAAGCTTTCTTCTGCAGCTTCCTCATAGAACTGCAGCTTCCTCACAGCCTTCATAGAACTGAAGACAGTTAGGCCTTGCTCTAGATTAGGCTTTGGCTTAAGGGAATGTTGTGGCTGGTTTGATTTCCCATCCAGACCACTCAAACTTTTTCTATATTAGCAATAATCCTGTTTCACTTTCTTATCATTCTTGTGTTCACTGGAGTGACACTTTTAATTTCCCTTAAGAACTTTTAGCCCAGGTACAGTAGCTCATGTATGTAATCCCAGCGCTTTGGGAGGCCAAGGCAGGTGGATTCCTTGAGCTCAGGAGTTTGAGACCAGCCTGCGCACCATGGCAAAACCCTGTCTATATAAAAAACACAGAAATTAGCCAGGTGTGGTGGCACATGCCTGTGGTCCCAGCTATGGGGGGTTCTGATGCGGAAGGATTGCTTGAACCTGGGGAGGCTGTAGTAAGCCAAGACTGCACCACTGCACTCCAGCCTGGGTGACAGAGTGAGACCCCGTTTTAGAGAAAGAGAGAGACAGAGAGAGAGGGAGAGAGAATGGTCAAAGTCCTAATTCCAGCTACTTGTGAATGTGATCTTATTTGGAAATGGGGTCTTTAATGATGTAATGAAGTTGAGAATCTTGAGTTGTAATCATTCTGGATTTAGGATAAGCTCGCAATCCAATGAGAGGTGTTCTTATAAGAGAAAGGAGAAAGAGACTTGAGACACAGACACAGAGAAAGGTCATGTGAATATGGAGAGCAGAGGCTGAGATGGGAAAGGTGTATCTGCAAGGCAGGGGACACCTAGGCTTGCCCACAGTCACTGGAAGCTGGGAAAGAGGCATGAAACTGATTCTCCCTCAGCGCCTCCAGAAAACCAACCCTGCTGATCTCTTGATTTTAGACTTCTGGCCTGTAGAACTGTGAGAGAATACACGACTGTTGTCTTTGGTCCCAAGTTTGTGGTAATTTGTGACGGCAGCCCTGGCAAATGAGTCCAGAGGCTTAGTGTATGCTGTTCCATTGCCTGGAACATGATCCTCTTCTCTTTCCCAAACATTTTCTCAACTTGCCCTTTGGTGCTTATAAGTGGACAAATCTTCAGAGAAGAAAGGAGATCTTTTCAAGGAATTGCTCTTACTGCCTCCTCCTTATCCTGTAACTCTCAGTTCAAATGGCACCTCCTCCAAGAAGCCTTCCCTGGGTTCCTACCCTTCTCTGTGCTCCCAGTTTCCTGGACCACCCGTGCCAATCATGCTGACACTATCTGTTGACCTGGCTTGCTCTCTGCTTCCCTACTGGACTGGGCACTCCACAAGGGCAAAGACTGTGTTCGTCCTCTCTTTGTGACTGCAGCTGTGCCTCGCACAGGTTCAGGCACAGTAGGGGTGTTCACTAATGTTTGCTGAATGAATCAATGAACCAAAGTTCCCTTCCAGTTCTGCTCCACCTCTGGACTCCTGCTCCACAGGGGAGAAACCCTTTTTGGGAGCACCTGTGACATAGCTCACGATCACCAATGTCAGGCAGGGGTGGGACATGCACCCCGGAGTCCAGCCATACCTCAGCACAGCCCTCCTGCCTGCATTGCCAAGGCCCTGTCAGAGGCGTGACAAACAGCTTGGCTGATGGCTTATAATGTCAGAGATGATGGAAACAGGGAGGCGACAGCTGAAAGAATGGGTTGGGGACGCTTGTCATAACTTTATTTGTGGGAGGTGAGTTTCTGTCGGCTGGGTGATGGATGGTGGCAGGGCAGGCACAATACAGACCCTGCCACTGCCTCTCTCCCCTTTCTCTAAGCCAAATGACTTTGGGGATGAAAAATGACTTTCTTGGGAGAACCCGGGGGAGGGGAACTTCAGGGTGAGGGGCTGTCTGGTCAGCACCTTGGAGTGACTTTTTTTTTTTTTTTTTGCTGAGAGTTGACTTTTTTCTGGGACAGCCTGATCATTTCTTTCCTTCCTTCTTCCTTCCCTCCCTCCCTTGACAATAATCCCAGACACAGTGTCTACCTTGATTCTCCAAACTGCCCTAAAAAGAATGTAGACTTTTGCAGAGGAGGAAACCGAAGCTTGAAGAGGAGAAACGACATATCCAAGTTCCCCATGAAGTAAGTGGAAGACCTGGGATTTGAACCTGGGTCTAGTTGCTCTAAAGCCTGACCTCTCTCCACAATCATGTGATAAAAAGGCCACAGGGCCAGGCACGGTGGCTCATGCCTGTAACCCCAGCACTTTGGGAGGCCGAGGCGGGCAGATCACCTGAGGTCAGAAGTTCGAGACCAGCCTGGCCAACATGGTGAAACCCCATCTCTACTAAAAATACAAAATTAGCCAGGCATGGTGGTGCACTCCTGTAATCCTAGCTACTCGGGAGGCTGAGGCAGAATAATCACTTGAACCCGGGAGGTGGAGGTTGCAGTGAGCCAATCACGCCATTGTACTCCAGCCTGGGCGAAAAGAGTTAAACTCGGTCTCAAAAAAAAAAAAAAAAAAAAAAAAAAAAAAAAAAAGCCACAGAAGCAGCAGCATGTGCCATGTTCCCTGGAAGAACCATGAAGACAGCAATTAATCCAAAAGGAGGAAGTCAGGGAAGGCTGCCTGTCAGAGGTGACATTTGAGTTGGTCCTGAAAGGGGGAGTAAAATGTTAAATGATAGAGAAATAAGGCAACAATTTAGGAAGAGAGGGTTTTGGGAGTGAGAAGATAAATGGAGAGGATTTGCATACATTTTTGTTTGCTTACCCAAACCAGACACTGTCCCCTTTCTCTTTTTTATTTTTGTTTTTTCTGTGTGTGACAGACTTTTGCTCTTGTCACCTAGGCTGGAGTACAATGGTACAATCTCGGCTCACTGCAACCTCTGCCTCCTTGGTTCAAGTAATTCTCCTGCCTCAGCCTCCCAAGTAGCTGGGATTACAGGCGCCCACCACCATGCCTGGCTAATTTTTGTATTTTTAGTAGAGACGGGGTTTCATCATGTGGCCAGGTTGGTCTCAAACTCTTGTCCTCAGGCGATCTGCCTGCCTCAGCTCTCAGAATGCTGGGATTACAGGCATGAGCCACCGCACCCGGCCTCTCCTTTCTAATAGAGCCAAAATTTTGGGGGAGTTGGTAATCTATCCTCCTATAAAAAGCCATGGGCTTTACCAAGACATTCATGAGGTTCAAATTCCCTTGTAAGTGGCTGGTTTTGAAACAGGAATGAGAACAATTCTGATGAATGAAATAAGAGGAATGTTTGCTCGGGGACCTCTGGAAAATACTTTTTTGTTTGTTTTCTTTTTATTAAACAGGATCTCACTCTGTCACCCAGTGCTGCAGTGGCACAATCACTGTTCACTGCAGCCTCAACCTCCCAGGTGCAGGTGATCCTCCCCCCTCAGCCTCCTGAGTAGCTGGGACTAAAGGTGTGCACCTCCACACCCAGCAAATTTATTGTATTTTTTTGTAGAGGGGAGGTTTTTGTCATTTTGCCCCGGCTGGTCTCAAAATCCTAGGCTGAAGCAATCCGCCCACCTCAGCCTCCCAAAGTGCTGGGATTATAGGCATGAGCCATTGTGCCCAGTTTTTGTGGTTTGTTTTTTGAAAGAGAAAGCCCCTCCTCTTTTGCAGGACATGGTCACACGCGTGCGTGATGCCTAGAAGTGTGGCAGCTGCCTTGTGACTACACAGATGGAACTAATACATGGGTGATGACTCAGTGGGAAGACGGGAAGGACATCATTAAGCCGCTGAATGAACGACTGCTACAGCCACCATACCACGGAACTTAATCTTTGAGTTGATACATTTTTCTCACTGTTAACCAGCTGGATTGGTGGTTTCATTTTTGCAGCCTATTCTGGCTGATAGAAGAAATAAAGAGGGTGTCAAGCCTCCCAAAGGCCCCCACCTCTTAATACCATCACACTGGGGATAAGGTTTCAACATATGAGTTTCAGGGGACACAAATATTTGGACCATAGCGGAGGGTACATGCGTCGGTCACATTGCCTTGGTCCAAAATCTGACTACACCTGGCTGTGTGACCCAGACAAGCTACTTAACTCCCCTGAGCCTTGGCTCCATCATCTGTAAAATGGAAATAAAGAGGCTGTTAGGATTAAATAAGTGCTGAGTGTAGCACTACCATGTGCTAAGCCTTGGAACAACCACCAAAAAATTGAGATTCGAGGCTGGGCGCGGTGGCTCATGCCTGTGATCCCAGCACTTTGGGAGGCCGAGGCAGGTGGATCACAAGGTCAGCAATACAAGACCAACCTGGCCAAGATGTTGAAACCCCATATTTACTATAAATACAAAAAATTAGCCAGGTATGGTGGCAGGCGCCTGTAATCCCAACTACTCGGGAGGCTGAGGCAGAGAATTGCTTGAACCTGGGAAGCAGAGTTTGCAGTGAGCTGAGATCGGGCCACTGCACTCCAGCCTGGGCGACAGAGCGAGACTCCATCTCAAAAATAATAAATAAATAAATAGATAAGATTAGAGTGTCTGAGGACTTAGTCAAGGTCACAGAGTCAACCAGTATGGTGGAGGCAGGCTGCATCTCAGGCCTGAGCTCAGAGCTCTGTGTGTAACCGTTGCATCCTCCTGCCTCTGGAAGGCAGATTCACAGTGCCAGCACCAAGGCCAGGGCCCAGAGCTCAGGGTTGGATTTCTGGGTGCTGAATTCTTGCTGTACTCCCTGGCGTTGGCTTGGCCGACTGTGGCTAAGAGTTGACTTTGCTTCCCTGCTCTGCGTGCCCGCCTTCCGCCCCCTCTCCTGAACAGTATTTCCCTGGGGCTCCCATTACCAATTTGCAGAGCAAAGGCATGCACAGGCAGTTCAGGGGTGGCGCAAGCTCAGCGACTCTGGTATTGTTTTTAATTCAATATTTTGTCCCTGTGCGCCAGCCTCCTTTATTGGATGAGAACACTGTTATTGGATCCTGCCCTGCAGGAGAAAACGCAGGCTTCCCCGGACGATGGCAGCTACGTTGTTCTAGAGTCTGGTGAGTCAAGGCAGGGCAAGAAGACAGAAGAGAGTTGCAGAAAATCTGGTGGTTACAAGCTGTTTTGTGACACGCACAAAAAAATTAACATATGTATTATTGACCCTTCCCCCTTCCCCTCTCTTCTAGGGAGGACAAAAGCCCAGGAGGCAGCCGTCGCATCATCCTCTTCCTTTCCCTGTACATCTGCTACATCCCTTGGTCCTATTGATTTCACCTGCCCTTTCCTTTATGTCCAGCATTACTCAGTTCAAGTCCCCAAGCATTTCCTGCCTCAACAGTTGGTCTACCCCATCCTCCTCTGCTGCTCTCAAACTCCTCCTCCTTCTTCTTCTTCTTCTTCTTCTTTTCTTTTTTTTTTGAGACGGACTCTTGTTGCCCAGGCTGGAGTGCAATGGCACAATCTCGGCTCACTGCAACCACCGCCTCCCAGGTTCAAGCTATTCTCCTGCCTCAGCCTCCCAAGTAGCTGGGATTACAGTGTGCACCACCACACCCAGCTAATTTTTGTATATTTAGCAGAGATGGGGTTTCATCATGTTGGCCAGGCTGGTCTTGAACTCCTGACCTCAGGTGATCTGCCCGCCTTGGCCTCCCAAAGTGCTGGGATTACAGGCTTGAGCTACTGCGCCCGGCAAATTCATTCTCCTTATAGACTATCTTATATGAGTTCACCTAAAAGCCTGAGATAAGGAATTGGATGTACAGAATTTATTTGCATGGCCATCCCAGGAAACACCTGGAAGTAGGGGAGTGGGAAAGGAAGACAGGGAGGGGTAGGCAGCCAGGAAAAGGGTTATCGAGCAGGTTACACTGTGGATAATGGGGGTTGATTCCACCAGACCTCTGGGAGCCCTCGGAGTTCTCCTGCCTGTGGAGTGGGGGAGCCGGGTATTTATCTACTGAGTCCTATGGGGGTGGGGGTGTTCATTCTCAGGCACCTCTGGCCTGCTTCACAGGCGGGAAGAGTGTGCTCCAGAGTTGTTAAAGAAAGTCTTTAGGTAACGAGACACAGTGGGCTGGGCGCAGTGGCTCACGCCTGTAATCCCAACACTTTGGGAGGCCAAGGAAGGTGGATCACCTGAGGTCAGGAGTTCAAGACCAGCCTGACCAACATGGTGAAACCCTGTCTCTACTAAAAATACAAAAATCAGCTGGGAGTGGTGACGGGTACCTGTAATCCCAGCTACTCGGGAGGCTAAGGCAGGAGAATCACCTGAACCAGGGAGGCAGAGGTTGCAGTGAGCCAAGATTACGCCACTACACTACAGCCTGGGTGATAGAGGGAGACTCTGTCTTTAAAAAAAAAAAAAAAAAAAAAAAAAGACACAGTGCTGGCAATTGGAAGTCTGCCCAGTGCACACTTAAGTGTGAGGGTCAGGGGGTGCGGGCGAGGAGGCGCTGGCAGCATCTCTTCTATCAGACACAGGCTTTGACTTAAAGCCCGCTGATGGCTTCCCTCTGCTCTTTGGAGTAAAGACCCAAGTTCTTTGGGTTTTTTTGTTTGTTTGTTTTGTTTTGTTTTAGAGGGAGTTTCGCTCTTTTACCCACGCTGGAGTGCAATGGCACGATGCCGACTCACTGCAACCTCCTCCTTCCAGGTTCAAGCGATTCTTCTGCCTCAGCCTCCTGAGTAGCTAGGAGTACAGGCACCCGCCACCACTCCCAGCTGATTTTTGTATTTTTAATAGAGACAGGGTTTCACCATGTTGGCCAGGCTGGTCTTGAACTCCTGACCTCAGGTGATCCACCCGCCTCAGCCTCCCAAAGTGCCGGGATTACAGGTGTGAGCCACTGTGAAGACCCAACTTATTTGCTCCACTCTATCAGGCCTCAGTGGGCCAGTTCCTGCCTCCTCCTCTCATCCCACTCTCCCCTCACTCCCCGGGTCCCAGCCTCCTCTCTGCTCCACAAAGGTGCTTTCTCTCACCACTCCCTCTTCTTCGTGGGCCCGTGGAGAGACTACATTTCCTAACCTTCCTTGTCCTTAGGACTGCTTCCTGGGTGACAGGATGAGGGAGTAAAATACACCACTTGCAGGCTATATACCTCTCACAGGATCCTCCATGTGCTCTTTTCCCACCGCAGATTGGAAGCAAAAGTCTTCAAGGTCCTAAAGGACAGTAAAGCCACAAAGTGGAAAGAACCTGGATGCCTGACCTGACATGTGGAAGGCCACATGCCAAGCGTCTACATTAGACTGTTGCATAAGCAAGAAATAAACATCGATTTTGTTGTTTATTACAGTAGATAACTCGAATAATATAATATTTTCATCCACATTTTATAGAAGGCAGAAAAGAGTCTCAGAGAGAAAGTGGCTTTCCTAGGTTTGTACAGCTACAGCCTGCAGAGCTAGGATTCTGACTCCAGAATATGTGCAACATGTAGCCAAGGCTGCTTTTCACGTTGTAGGCCTTCAATTAATATTTGTGGAATAAATGCAATTAAAAGTCTTGATTCCCTAGTTTTTATATTAAGAAACTACAGGGGAAATAGTTCAAAAATAAATCACAGTGACCAATAATAATAATAATAATTAAATAAATAAAGATGTATTGATCTGCTGCATTAGATGGTAGGTTCCTAGAAGACATGCTTTTTTTGTACTCATTTTTAAATCTTTCACTCTGCCTAGCACAACACTTGGTACACTGTGGGTGTGCAAACATGGCTGCTCAACTGAATCCTCACAGACAGCCTGGACTGGGTGTTCCTCAGCTTTTTCAGATGGTGATGAAGAAGTACTTTTTTTTTTTTTTTTTTTTGAGACGGAGTCTTACTCTGTTGCCCAGGCTGGAGTGCAGTGACGTGATCTCAGCTCATTGCAAACTCTGCCTCCCAGGTTCAAGTGATTCTCCTGCTTCAGTCTCCCGAGTAGCTGGGATTTCAGGCGCATGCCACCATGCCTCACTAATTTTTGTATTTTTAGTAGAGATGGGATCTCACCATGTTGGCCAGGCTGGTCTCCAACTCCTGGCCTCAAGTGATCCACCCACCTCAGTCTCTCAAAGTGCTGGGATTACAGGCATGAGCTACCGTGCCCAGCCAAGAAGTACCTTGACATCATTGTCTCTCTTGCATACTACCATAAAATAGTGATAAATTAATGTTAAAATGAGTAAATATATAACTTTATACGAAATCAAATGACATCTTGTACTGGGCTCCACCATAAAAATTGGAAACAGGTGCAAAAGTTGGGGAAGTGCACTGGAGAATAATCACAAATGAAGGTACTTCTCCCTTCCATCCTTCCCTCCCATGATTGGCCTAAGACCACCAGTTCTCCGCTACTGGATTTTGGTGGTAGAATGGCTGGGTCCAGTTCACAGAAGTAGTCTACAGGCGCATAATTTGAAAACCAGTAGATGAGCTGGTTAAGTAGGAGGGATCAGTTAATTAATGGACAAAGTTCTGTTTTCATATTTGCTCATTAGTACCTTAAAACCAACTCGTGACCTCCCCAGATCACACCAACAGGATTCCCTGCAAGCGTTTTTGTATTAGCTCCACTTCTGTCTCTGTTTTATGCTCTTCTCCGAGGTTTTCTTTCTTTCTTTTTTTGGAGACAGAGTCTCGCTCTGTCACCCAGGCTGGAGTGCAATGGTGCAATCTCAGCTCACTGAAACCTCCACCTCCTGGGTTCCAGCAATTCTCTTGCCTCTGCCTCCCAAGTAGCTGGGATTACAGGTGTCTGCCACCATGCTTAGCTAAGTTTTTGTATTTTTAGTAGAGACAGCGTTTTGCCATGTTGGCCAGGCTGGTCTTGAACTTCTGACCTCAAGGGATTCACCCACCTCGGCCTCCCAAAGTGCTGGGACTGCAAGCATGAGCCACCGCACCTGGCCTTATTTTCTTTTTTGATATGGTGTCTCAGTCTGTCACCCAGGTTGGAGTACAGTGGCACGATCTCAGCTCACTGCAACCTCCGCCTCTGGGGTTCAACCTCAGACTCCAGAGTAGCTGGGACTACAGGCACCCACCACCATTCCCGGCTAATTTTTGAATTTTTAGTAGAGACAGGGTTTCACCATGTTATCCAGTCTGGTCTGAAACTCCTGGCCTCAGGTGATCCACCTGTCTCAGCCTCCCAAAGTGCTGGGATTACAGGCATGAGGCACTGCGCCCGACCAACTTTTCTTTTTCTTATGTCTTGTTTTCATTTATACCACCTTGTTGTGCTTTACATATCTTTGTCAGCAATCTTAAATCCTTTCTGGAATAATATGGTGGTATAAATAAAAACATACAACATAAATATAAATAAATATAAAATGTAACAAGCTCTATAAAAACCTATTCCTAAAATATCAACAGTGGTTGCTTTTTTGCAGAAAGAAATAAGATGATTAGAGATGTGCTGGAGGGGAATGTGCATCCTGTGGGGGCTGATGTGTGTGATTTTACAAAACCCAAAGTGTAAGCATTACAGATCACTTTAAGAAATACCATGGAGATAAAAACATATATTTTCTTTTCCTATTTTTTTATTTTTTATTTTTTTTGAGGCAGGATCTCACACCCATCAGTCAGGTTGGAGTGTAGTGGTGCGACCATGGCTCACTGCAGCCTCAGCTTCCTGGGCTCAGGTGACCCTCCCACCTCAGCCTCCCCAGTAGCTGGGACTACTGGTGTGTGCCATGATGCCCGGTTAATTTTTTCTATTTTTAGTAGAGACAGGGTTTTGCCATGTTGCCCAGCTTGGTGTGGAACTCCTGGGTTCAAGCAATCCACCCACCTCGGCCTCCCAAAGTGTTAGGATTACAGGCATAAACTACCATACCTCGCCAAAAATTATTTTCATTACTTACTTTTATAGATACAGATTTAATATATTTCTTTTATTGTTGACTTCTCTAATACTTGTTCATGGTAGAAATTGAGGAAATACAAATAAGTAAAAAGGAACAAAATAAAAGTCATCCATATTTCACTAGTCAGAGACCACCACCACAAACTTCTTTAGGTGAAATTTGGATAGGGGGTAAAATTTTTGTATTTTTTTGTAGAGATGGGGTTTTGCCATACTGCCCAAGATGGTAGTGATCCTCCTGCCTCAGCCTCCAAAAATGCTGGGATTACAGGCATGAGCCATCGCACCCACCTTTTCATTTTCTTTACTCAAGATTTGGAGAGGGGTTCCCAGCAGGGCTTGGAATAGGGCTTGGGGTCTGACGGATTAATGCTCCATCAGAGCAGGTAATGGGGGATGGTGAAGAAGAGGAGGAGAAGGAAAAGGAGTACAGGAGGGAAAAGAGGAGGAGGGGGAAGGGAAGAAAGAGGGAGAAGGTAATGACGGGAACAGAAAGAATCTTTGAGGCTTGTGTGTGTGCCTTTGAGGCATTTGAGGGTAAACTGGGAATTGAGAGGACCAGACAGTATCTGCTGCCTGGTCCGATTCAGGGATGAAATCTAACCCACCTAGGGTGAGATGTTGTGGACAGCAGAGGTGAGAAACAGGGTAGAAGCAGAACTGCCTTGGTGCCCAGACAAATGTAACTCAGCACTGAGGATGGCTGCCTGTACTCCATGTTTCTACAGGGCACAGTACGGCTCTGCTGCTATGGGCACCCAAGCAGAAGGCCATGCCCCTTTAGGGTCCTGCAGCTACTGAAGTGCCTGGGAGCAGTGCCCTAGGTAGGGCAGCAGTGGCAGGGGTGAGGCTCCCCTTTCAAGTGACATGGGGGCTGCAGATACCAACGCAGCACCTGAGCAGAGAACCCCTGGAGAGGAGTATACATGAGGCAGGAGTATACACGAGCTTAAGCACATGCAGAAAGAACATGGTTGTTCATGACAGCTGGGCTCATTCTTTTACTGGTGCATGTGGAAGCTCTTGAGTCAGAGAAAGTTAATGAACATCAATGTAGAATCATGTATGTGCTCAGAAGGTCAGGCTTGGAAAAATTTAGATCTTTTAAATATATACATAGGCATTTAATTAATTACTTTAGAGACAAGGTCTCACTCTGTTGCCCAGGCTGGAGTGCAGTGGCACTGCTAGCTGTAGCTTGACCTTTCAGGCTCAAGCCATCCTCCTACCTCAGCCTCCCAAGTAGCTGGGACTACATGTGTGCACCACCACATCTGACTAATTTTTTTCTAAACAAAAACTTGTGATTTCTATGTTTTCAATGTCAGGTTTATTTTTAAGAAAATGAAAGAACAGGAAAAAGATGCGTAATTTTCTGAAACTTCTGAGGTTGAGGTAGATCAGTTTTTCTTAAGGTGTGTATTTCATAACACTAGTTCCACAGGATGCTAATAGGTGTTAGATGAAAAATAGCTTCTGTTATCAAATGGGTTTGGAAAACATTGGGTGAAACAGTTAAAGAGTTTTCTTCCTACAAGACTGCACAGGGCTTCTCATATATTCATGTGCATAATGAGTCTCCCTGAGAAGATGTGAGTTTAACAGCTACCCCTTTTCCCAATCTGGGGTGCTAGAACATTCTTTGCTTTCACTGTTGCTGGTGTTAATTTCACTGATAGCTGCTGGGAATGATTCAGGGCATCTAATTGGTGTTTATCAATTGCTCTGTTTATCAATAGGTCACAGCGGCTACCAATGATAGAATTGTCACTTTTTGGTACCTAACCTGCTTGGACTTTGTATATCTCTTGCTGCACAATAAATTGCCTAAAACGTAGGCGGTTAAAACAACAAAAAGCATTTATTATCTCACCGTTTCTGTGAATTAGGGATTTAGGGATGGCTTAGATGGGTGATTCTGGTTTCGTATGTCTCATGAGGTTGCAGTCACCTAAAGGCTTGGCCGGAGTTGAAGCCTCCACTTCCAGGATGGTCCCAGTGAATCTCACCTCCTGGTATTCATGTCCTGTGTGGTTCCCTCCCATAATGAACAGGCCTGTGTTGTGTACTCCATAGGATATCATAGAAATAATGGACTGTGAATTCTGAGGCTAGATCACAAAAGATACTGTGACTTCTGTCCTGTTCTCTCTTGGATCACCTGCTTTGGAGGAAGTCAGCCGCCACGTGAGAACACTCAGTCAGCCTGGTAAGGAGACCTATGCATCAGGGAATTGAGGTCCCCAGTCAACAACCAGTACAACTTGCTTGCCATGTGGGTGAGCCGTCCTGGAAGTGAACGACATCGTGACTACAACTTTATGAGAGACCCTGAGCCAGAACTATCCTGCTAAGCTGCTTCTAAATTCCTGGTTCACCAAAATTGTGTAACATAATACATGTTCTTAGTTTTTTTTAAGCCACT